TCACTGGGACCCACTTTGTTTAGGGTCTCAAGCCAGGGAACCCCAGGATCTGCTTGTCTTTGTCTGTCTGGTGACAGGCTTACAAACTTGCACCTCCATGCTGGAGCTGGAGATTAAAGTCATGTCCTTGTGTTTGAGGTAAGAGCTCTTTACCAACTGAGCTGTGTCCCCATGCCCACTTTCTTCTGATGTTGACAATCTTCCCTTTGTCTGAGCAATATTCTCTCAAGATATCAGTAACTTACCATCTGGTGGTTTGATAACGATTACCCCTTGTCACTGGGGGACATCTGCCCCTGCCTGATGTGAGCCTACATTGGAGTATGGAAATGTGGGGGAAGGTATGGGACATCATGGAGTTAATGCTGAAGCAGAACCTTTTACAGACAATTTTAACCAAATAAAAAGTATAGGAGGAATTTCTCTTAGGTCAGCCTTCCTTAGTATGTATTTAAAAAAAGAAAAAGAAAAAAAGAAAAAACAAGAAAAGACAACCTCCAACAACTACAGAGAAGTCTCTGCAGGTTTCTCTGCAGAATGTCAGGAGACAGCAAGCCCAAGAGAGATAGCACAAATCTACCAAAAACAACAACTATCTATCTGATGGAAAGACTTTTCTTTAGGGGACAAATGTTCAATGCCTTTGAATTATTCAGAGGTACTGCTTGAAGTGTGCATTGTTCAGTTATGTCTAATTATCTTTGATTCACAGGAACATCACAATAAAATTTAGAACATATAAACACAGGCCTGGAAACGGTTAGCACCATTAACAAGGTGTTTTGGAAGATACCAGATTGGTAAAAAGTTTTTAAAATAGTGCATTGTAGAAGTTTTATGATACAAGAGGCATGAATACGTATGAAAGTGCATCACTACATAGAACTGAACAAAAGTCAGATGACACACATATACATATACATATACATATATGTAAACACATCATATACATATCACACATACATATATACATAACACAGATAAATATGTACACACACCCAGACACACATCATACACTTATACACACATACACACATGTACATGCGTGCGCGCGCACGCGCACACACACACACACACACACACACACACACACATACACACACACAAATTTAAGGTGGTTTTCTTTTCTGACATGGTTTTGCTATGTAGCCCAGACTGACCTTGAATTCATAATCTTCTACCTCTTCTTTCCATGTGCTGGAATTTCAAGCCTATGTCATCATGTCCAGAGAGACTTTATATTTAAAAGGAGTTTTAGCACATCCTGTGTGGTGGCACATGGTGGCCATCCCTTCGTGTGTGTGTCTGTCAGCATCATAAGAATTTTGCTCAATACTGGCCTCCCTTTGAGGACAATCCATTTCCTCTTAACATGTAAGCCCAAAATGGGGCCTGGGTTCTCAGGTTAGGACTGAAAACAGCACATAATAATTAAGCATTTCTTCATGTGAGGCTAACAGTGGAAGCTGGGACTCCTTCAGTCCCTTGAAAATGCCTTGTGGTCCATTTAGAACATAACTACAGAACTCTGCCTCTCGTGGAGGAAGAAATTCCCTACAACATGTATGTGGGGGGCTAGCTCTGTCACATCATGTCGGTTGTTCTATAAACAGCCACCTCAGAGCTCAGAGACACAGACATGCCTGTCCACTGTCCCAGGACACATGAGAGTGGGCACAGCAAGCATCCCGCCTTTGGCAACTCATGGTTACTCTTGTTTTTAAATGAGAAGCACACGGTCAAACACCTGGCTTAATCCCCCTAAACGTGTCTGTGCCTATATCATCTTCTTAGCCTGACAATGGCAAACATTTGACACAATTGAGAAATCATTAGTTACCTTTAAAAAGGCAACATCCATCTATCAGCCAACTTGATCCTTCAGCTTTTGGAATTGTTGTGATTGTTGTAATGTGCGTAAAGCAGCGCCCTTTGAAGGCATGTCTGAAAGCTTACATTGACAAGCCATAAATACTGGTGGATGTGTGTTTATCAGTTGAGTCAAAACAACAAAACAGAAAACAAAATATTTAGGTTCCTCTGCAGAAACGTAAGATTTCACACTTAGTTAAATGAAGGCAGAGAGTTTATAAATAGCTCAAGAAAAAACACCAAGATAGTATTTGCCACTGAGTCTGCACTGGAGAAGTTTCAGGAAGTCAGGACTTCTTTGCAGAATCTAAATTGTACATATGTAAGGCATGGCAAGCAAACAGACAAAAAGAGAGGAGGGGATGGTGAGAAGGCTCAGCAAAGGGAGGTGCTTGCCGCCAAGCCTGACAACCTGAGTTTGATCCTGGGATCCACGTGGTGGAAGGTGAGAAATGCTTGTTCTCTGACCTTCAACCATACAGTGGTATGTGTACCCATAAACAGACAGACACATACACACAGAGAACTAAAGGAAATTGAGGATGCTTTATTGGTTAGCGTTTTTTTCCAGTGAACAAAGAAAAAGTGTAGCATCTAATATATATATATTTAAAGATATACTACATTGATTGAGCATTCCTCCACTGTAATCCCAGCAACTGGGAAACAGGCAGGAGCATCGGAGTTCCAGGTTATCCTTTCTACACTCTGAGTTCAAGGTCATCCTTGTCATTATAGCTAGTTAGAAGCCAGCCTGGTCTACAGTGAGGCCCTGTCTCAAAAAAATCCAAATCCAAACAATAGCAATTCAGAAAACAAAAACAAGTGCTGTTTCTCCAGAGACAATGGTGGTTTAATGTGCTGCATGTAACTTTACCATTACTTTCCAAATAGGTTCACAACACTCATCCATTGGGTTTACCGGGAGGCATGGGCAAGCATCCTTATCCATTTGGTTGTACCGTGTGACATGGCCAAGTGTCCTGATTAGGATTTCTGATCACCAGGATCCCATCCTCAGGACCGTATTATACATGCTTAAACATACAACGTGGGTTAAAGAGAGTCTCATGGGACTGTGAACCTATAGTGTGCCTGGGCTATGATCTCCAGGGCACTGGGCAGGACATTTTTCTCCTTCGGGCTATTGAATACCATCTGTGTACTTGCTAGACTATTAGAAAACTTGCTTAGTCCGGTCTGGAAAACAGTGCCCGGAGTTAGTTTGCCCAGAACCCCCTAGCTCCCTGTATTCCACAGCTGTTGGCAGCAATAAGTTTGCTGCCTTAATCTTAAATGCCCTTTTTTGTCCTGTCCCCGTTAAGTTGTTTGTGTGAAAAATGTGCAGTTGGGTTCCGGAAAGTGCTGGGGATCAGTTCCCCTGTGGTTTTTCCTGTTTGGAAAACAGTGTCCTTCTTGCCTATGGATACAGAGTAACCATTCCTTGATTCCTGCTGTTAGAGCCCATGTTGGTACAAAATAAGAGAGCTGCTTCCCTGACGAACTGAACTGGGTGTCTAGAGTGCTGTTTAACCTATGCATCCCTCGCCAGATTTTGTGCTCCAGCTGCGCGGGTCACAGCACACAGCCATAGAAGGTGAATTCCCACCCTCTGAGTACATGAAGACTCCCAGAATGGGCTATGTTAGAACCCTGCCAAGGCCCCCAACTTGCCAGTCCTCAGGGTTTGTGTCAGGAATGTCCACACTCCCATGTAGCCAGGGACAAGTCAAGGAACATGGAGGACCAGAGTGACCCCAACTTGTCATCATATATAGGCACCATGAGGATGCTCCAGTGTGTATCCTAGACCAACTTCACCGCCACCCTGCTGAGAATCAGGGGTCTTTGTATCTTGGTACCTCCCCGAGTTTTGCAGGGGCCTCTGTCCTGAGCTAGCGGAGGCTGAAGTTTGGATACTTTGTAGCTATCATTTGCAATGGGGAGCCAGTGGTCTGAGGGGGGTTTCAGGGAGGAGCTAGAGGAAGAGGATAGGGTGGGGCGTTATTGTGGGGAGGTGCCTCGTGTAGATGCCTGGGTGTTGGTATCCAGACACCCAGGCTGCTGTGGCCCGCTCCTCAGCTCCATCATACATGTTTGAAGTCTAGCATTTGCAAGCCTCTTCCTCCGAGGGAGCATCGTTTTGGAAAGGTACCCAGCAGCATGGTCTGGCCCTCTGGTCCCAGCCTGCGTGGGGTTTCAGTGGGAGCCCCTTTCTTCTTCAGACACGGGTGGTCTCGTGAGGCATTGACCCTTTCCCGGATACAGCAGGGAGCTGAGGCACTGAACAAAACCGGGTCCTCAGATAGCCTTGTTCCCGGCCTGTGAGAGCCCAAACCTTCTGTTGAGGGCTGATGAGGCACGTGGTGTAGACCCCAGTGCGTGAGAGAACCAGTTGGGCTGGGAGAGGCTCCTGGGGGCAGCAGGCTAGGTTCCGAGCTGGCGGCCTGTTCTCTGGCCTCACTTTTGGAGTGTGTTCCACAGAAACGGGATAACCGTGATTAGGTTTCATGCCTGAAAATCTGCCATCCACATGCCGCACCAATGCCCTAAGGTGGGAACTCTTCATGCCTGTGAATTCGCTTTCTGCCCTTGCAGCTTCCTACTGTTGTAAGATGTTCTAGGACCCAGCATTTAGTCCTGGAAATCTGTGTCACTAACTGTGAAAAGAGAGACTACCGTGGTTAGGTGAATGCCTTGTCACCCACGTGGCAGATGTTGGGGCCTCTGGGAAACTCACAGATGCCACAGTGAAGAGCAAATGGAAATGCAATCATAGCTTTCTTAAAAGACTTGATCATAGGAAGGGAAAGGAGAAGAAAGGATCAGGCCAGGGGCAAGGGTTAAGGCGCAGAAAGGTGAGACCAGGTAGTTGCAGAGTGCCCTCCCTGTTCAGTGGCCTGTACACAGCTGCTTCCGTAAGGACGCAGCTATTTGGGGGAATAGGAAGAAGGATGTGTGAGACCATTCTAGCTTTTCTCAGGTGAGTTCTCCTACCTCGGAAGTGGTATAGCCTGAGGCTCTCATGTCACCTGCCTCCTGGAGTTGGTCTGAAGACTCATGGCTAGAATACGGTTGGCATCAGTGTTACTCTGAATGTTCTGTGTTGGCAGAGCTGTGGTTGCAGGATGGAGAACTTCCTGAGGCTGCTACGGGAGCATGGGGATGCTCCCCCTCCCCCACCAGAGCTGGTGACCCTCGCAGGCAAGCTGTGTCGGGACTTCCAACACAACCCTGTTCAGGTGCTCCATCTGGTTAAAGCCATTCTGGACAGCCAGCATCGCTGGGACCTGCTAAACAATGTAGATGTGGCCCTGGTGTGTACTCAGGTCCTGATCCATCAAGAGCAGTGGCTTTTAGCCCTCCAAATTCTACAGGTATGATGAGGGTATGGTGGGCGGCACAGAGACAAGTGGGTCACAGCAGCCTCCACCATACCCATGGTGTCATGAGCTGAGGCAGGACGGCCCACTCTGACTTGAGCAAGTAATGCCTAACTTGGTAAGCTAGGCAACTACCCTTTTAGAAAATCCTTATTTGGTGGTAATCCCTTGCCAACTACTGAGCAAAGGTGGAGTTTTAAGGCAAAACTTTTCTTGGGGAGACAAAACACACTTGTTAATCACCCCTGACAGGGGACCCACAATAGACCAGATTATAGATAATGAAAGACCCCCGCTCCATTATGAGGACATGGGGCTTTGGGCCAATGAAATGCTCCCCCCCATAACTTGGCCTTAGAAACGCCATTCTGCAGGAATCAGAAAAACAGGAGTTCACAGCCATAGCCAGCTACCCGGCCTTGACAGAGATAGCTATGGCCAGCCTTGAGAGAGA